TGCACAGCATCAGAATAAAAACAAATTCTTGCAAATCGAGATTTTTCAATCAGTAAGGGCCAAAATGTTCATCTGCTTTGTTGACTTTATCTAAGAACAATAGTTGACAATCTTCAAGAGTCGGATTAGTTAATTTGATTTTTTTGGGAAACAATTGTAAATTGCTTGATTTTCGCTGAATCTGATCGGCAATATTTGAAACTTTTGAAAAGGTGATAATTTTTCAAAATATCCGTTTTCATTATATGTCACAAGGATATGTTTTCTGAATTTTTGTTATATCGATAGTTATGAAACTAGCTGATGATGCTGTTTTCAGAGATGACATCTCATCAGCAGTTCTCTACGCGATGGACATCTTTACGGGTAAAGTGATAAATAAGTCGAATCGAGTCGATTTACGACGTAAGGTTTCGACGTATTTGCCAACTCTTATCGATCGTCTTCTTTCGCTGACGACTGCTGGCCTTGAGAATGGCAAAGTGATGCATCTTGTCGACCATTATCGGGTATTTTTGCCATTATTCGCCCAAAAAAATCTCCTCCTAACTGCAGTTTTTTTCAACCTCATTATTATATAATCGAATTCTGATCGTATAACTTGGGAAATTGTGATTATCAAAACAAAAAATTGTCCATAAGAAGATTTCCATAAGTAGAAAAATTTATATTGCCGTACCATTGAACGAGAGATCATGAATCTTTTGCCGATTAAATTGTGATCTCAAACATTTTAACACCCATAGAGAATTTCTGAAATTGTCAGAAGTTCTTCATAAACTGTCCTGTTATTCCAGAAACATATCAATTTATTAATACGTATCTGCGTCACAACGAGTCGNTATGATCTATTGTACAATACGATTTATCCACGCCTGGAAAAAGATCCTCTTTCGAGGACGATATTCTTTGAATATTTGGATGAAATTATTTTAGATGGAATGCTCGACAATCCACCGCCTTCACTGGTAATTACTAAAATATCCACTTAGTTTGGTGTTTCAATCTTGAGGCAGTTCGATCCAGTGTATTGATATGTTATACACTGTAATTTATCTATTTAAATATTTTTATTTATATGGGTTGTAATAAAGTGCGCTCGGAAGCTTCAAGGATCACTAGATTAGACTTCACAACTGGCATAATAATGTAAATAATACTGAATATCTGTGAAATGCATATTACAGGTGTCAGAATATCTACAGAATTTAATTCTCGAAGGGAATCTGAATCAGTTTGAAGCGTCTGTGGTGCGCATCCCAATCGATCGACAAGATATACACTATGTGATGACGACGTGTCGTGCGAATCGACTTCATGATGGTATCATTTATGTGTACAATAAAGCGCTGTCTGATTATTTGAGTCCATTGGAGGTTTGTCTTCATTTGCTACTTTTCATTTGATTGGTTGAATTAGAAATATGCGAATGCTTCGGTGAGACTGATTGATGCAATTGGTCATTGAATTTGTCATATATTTAGTTTTATTTGAACTCTTTGCTAACAGTAAATTATAATTGAGACACAACTGAACCAATTGTGAAAGTGATCAGTGAAAGTATTGAAACAGAGACGGAAAGATGAAGATGTTTGATTGAATGAATCCGATCTAGGACTTTCTTTTTTGAATTCTCTTCATTTTCCTGCAAAGCTATATTATATTCATGTATCAGTGATGGATGGGTTCATGCAACATTTGGTTCATTTGTTTCAGTGTAAAATTTGCGTCTTAATTTGGTGACAAATTATTTTGCAGGAGATGT